TTTGTCATTTATGGCTTCACTAGCCCAACAATCTCCCACTTGGAGACTTAAATGACATATTATTTCTCTGCCATTCAAAAAACTTTGCAACATTCCGTAATCTCTCTCCATCTCTCTCTCTATCTCTCTCTCGTTTTCTGCCATGCCTTTTCTCAAACTTCTGAAATGCCAGTTGAAGCCATACAAAGCTTCAACTTTTCAGTGGTAACCACCTTGGTGAACATATCTGCTGGATTCTTCGTTCCAAGGATTTTCTTCAGATTTAGAGTTCCATCATTAATTAATTCTCGAATAAAATGGTACCTCATCTGAATGTGTTTCGTTCTACTATGAAACACTGGATTCTTTGCCAAGTAAACTGCACTCTGGTTGTCACAATGCAATACACAATCCTCCTGATGCATTCCAAGTTCTGATAGAAAGTTCTTCAACCATATAAGCTCTTTGGCTGCTTCTGCAATGGCCATATACTCTGCTTCTGTGGTTGAGAGAGCAACACTCTTTTGTAACCTGGACATCCAACTGATTGATGTACCTCCAATCGTGAACATATAACCTGTTGTGCTCTTTCTTGAATCCACACATCCACCCAAATCAGCATCGGCGAACCCTTCTAAGATCACACCCTTTCTTCTGAAACATAAGGCAACCTCAGATGTTCCTTTCAAGTAGCGTAACAACCACTTTACTCCCTCCCAATGCTCTTTTCCTGGATTTGACATGAACCTGCTCACAACTCCCACTGCATGAGCAATGTCTGGTCTGGTGCATACCATAGCATACATCAAGCTACCAAATGCAGATGCGTAGGGAACTTTAGTCATCTGTTCCCTGTCTTCTTCCGTCTTTGGGGATTGCTTCTTTGAGAGTCTCAACTGACTTCCCAAAGGTGTACTTCTCGCTTTAGCATCTGCCATGCTGAACTTTTCTAAAACTTTCTTGATGTACTTAGCTTGTGAAAGTTTTAGTGTACCGATAACTCTATTTTTGGCTATGGTCATGCCCAATATCTGCTTAGCAGCCCCTAGGTCCTTCATCTCAAACTCTCTGGACAACTGCTTCTTAAGCTTGTTGATCTCCTGCATGTCGGACCCAACGATCAACATGTTATCAACATACAATAAAAGGATGATGTATGAGGAGTTGAATTTCTTCAAGTAACAACAGTGATCCATTTCACATCTATTGTACCCACTCCTTTGCATGAAGCTATCAAACTTCAAGTACCACTGTCTTGGAGCTTGCTTCAATCCATACAGACTTTTTTTCAGTTTGCACACCAAATTTTCCTTACCAACTGTGGGAAAACCCTCTGGTTGTGTCATGTAGATGTCTTCTTTCAGGTCACCATGGAGAAAAGATGTCTTCACATCTAGCTGCTCTAGATGGAGATCTTCAGAGGCTACAATACCCAAGACCATTCTGATTGTAGTCATCTTTACAACTGGAGAAAATATCTCATTGTAATCAACTCCTCTCTTTTGTTGAAACCCTTTGACCACCAGCCTTGCATTGTATCGTTTGGTGCCATCAGTCTCATCTTTGACCCGAAACACCCATTTGTTCTGCAGTGCTTTCTTCCCTGTCGGGAGCTTGACCAAGGACCAAGTATGGTTCTTATCAAGTGAGCTCAACTCGTCTTCCATAGCTTTCTTCCACTGTATGGAATCTTTCATCCTTAAGGCCTCTAGATAAGACTCAGGTTCACCATTCTCAGTCAACAACAAGTAATTAGCTGAAGGAGAATACCTGACTGGAGGTCTTCGCATTCTAGTGGATCTACGGATAATAGGAGTTTCGGTTTCTGCATCATCTGTAACCTCATCCTCTAAACTACTATCTACTGTGCTCCCACTATCTCCAGATACATCGGAGCTCCCACTGCTTCCTGAACTTTCACCTATCTCTGGAGTACTAATAGGTTTTACAACACCATCATCTGAGATTTCTTCTAACTCAACTTGATCCTTCTTTTCTGGTTGCTTGTCACCATTGGGGCTTTTTGCAAGTTCATCATTGTATAGAGCATTCTCGTTGAACACCACATCCCGACTTCTGATAACCTTCTTATTCTCATTATCCCAGAAGCGGTACCCCATGTCATCCAACCCGTAACCTATAAAGGTACACTTCCTTGCCTTTGCCTCTAGCTTGTTTCTCTCCGAGTCTTTAACTTTAACATACGAGACACAACCAAATACCTTCAAGTGTTTGAGTGAAATCTCGCGACCTTGCCATTCCTCTTCTGGAATCTTGAACCCTATGGGCACTAAGGGTCCTCTGTTGATTAAATATGCAGCTGTGTTGACCGAATCTGCCCAGAACATCTTGGGTAAACCTGCATGTAGTCTCATGCTTTTAGCCCTCTCGTTCAATGTGCGGTTCATCCTCTCTGCTACTCCATTTTGCTGAGGTGTCTCCGGAACCGTCTTCTGCATTCTGATTCCTTGGCCAGCACAATAATCAACAAATTCTTTGCTACTGTATTCGCCCCCATTGTCTGATCTGAAACACTTGATTTTCAAGTTTGTTTCATTCTCTACAATAGCTTTCCATTTCTTGAATGTGCTGAAAACTTCAGACTTATGCTTCAAGAAATAAACCCAAACTTTCCTTGTGCAGTCGTCAATGAAAGTAACGTAATATCGAGACCCTCCCACTGAAGAAACTGAAGTGGGACCATAAACATCTGAATGAACTAACTCCAACTCCATGGACTTGGGCGGATGACCTATCTTTGTGAAAGTAACATTCTTCTGTTTACCCAGAATACATGGCTCACAGAAGTCAACTGTCACAGTCTTCAGATCTGGTATTCTTCCTTTGGATGCTAGCATCTTCATTCCTTTCTCACTCATATGTCCAAGTCTTTGGTGCCATAGAGTGGATATCCCAACTTCTTCAACAGCATGTACTTCAGCATCAGAAACTTCCACCATATATAGTGTACCCCGCTTCTGACCTTTAGCAACAACTAAGTTTCCCTTTGTCACTTTCCACTGATGATCACTGAATGTAACATGGTGACCTTCATCATCAAGCTGCCCCACATATATTAACATCCTCTTTAAGTCTGGAATGAACTTGACATTCTTCAAAGTCCACTTCGTACCCAAGGTTGTCTTGAGGACCACATCCCCAACTCCAGTAATATTCAGGCTCTTGTTATCTACTAATCTGACTTTCCCTTTATACTGCTTGAAATTATGCATTACTTCTCTGGAATGACTAGCATGAAACGACGCACCAGAATCCATGATCCAGGATTCAGTTGAGTTTTCGACACAACAAATGAGTGCATCATCTTCAGAATCTGCTGCCATATTTACTTCCTTCTTGCCTTTGTCTGTCGAAGGCTTTGGGCACTGATTTCTGAAATGACCTTTCTCATTACAGTTCCAACAAGTAATATCTTTCATGTTCTTCGACTGACCTCTCTTTCTTGACTTCGATCTTCCTCTACCACCACCTCCTCTATTGGTCTTTCTTCCTCTGCCTTCAGTAGTTAGAAGACTACTGGAAGCTTCTCCGACACTCCTTCTGCGCACATCCTCACCAAGGATTAAATCGCGAATACCTTCGAATGATAGCTTGGCACCTCCGGCTGAACTGCTAACGGCCGTCACTGTGCCAGACCAACTATCGGGAAACGATGATAATAGTAGCAACGCCATGACTTCATCTTCAAATCCAATATCAACAGATATCAATCTTGATATTATTGAGTTGAATTTGTTCACGTGGTCTGTCACTGAGCTACCCTCCTTCATCTTCAGATTTACAAGCTGCCGAATCAAGAAAACCTTATTTGCCGCCGAAGGTTTTTCGTACATATTAGACAGCGCATTTATCAGATTGTAGGTTGTCTTCACATTGACAATATTGTAAGCTACATTCTTTGCCAATGACAACCTTATCACTCCGAGTGCCTGCCGATCTAATAAGTCCCACTCCTCCTGCGTCATTGCTTCTGGTTTGTCTTTGGACAAAGGTTGGTGTAACTTCTTCTGGTAGAGATAATCTTCGATTTGCATTTTCCAGAAACCGAAATCTTGACCATCAAATTTTTCGATATTAACTTTCCCATCTTCAGCCATAGCTCTGATACCAGTTTGTTGGGAATATACCAAACAAGTTAAGCACTTCGAACAAAACGATTAACGATTTCGGTAACACTCGCGAAATAAAACTACTGAAAAAAAATTGCAAACGAAATTGAACACGATATTTAACGTGGTTCGGTCTAATCTGACCTACATCCATGGGCGAACGAGAGAGAGAAGATTTTATTTAACATCAAAGAAAATTATAATCATACAAGGCTAAAATCTGCACTTGTAATCTGATCACTGACTGTAAGATATCACTCGTAATTTTTGGCTGCCAAAAATTAAGGCTCTGCACAAAAATTAATACCTCACTAATTTATCTGTGTATCTACTCTCTATGATGTTATGGTTATTGTGTATCTAACAAATGAAGAGAAAATGAATATTTATAATCATTGAGCCGTAACCTTCTTCTTTAATTCACACACACATATACGTATATGTTGCTGCAAATTTTGACTTGTGTGTCTCATGCATTTAATGCATCACATACCTACTGTATATTCTTGACTTACGTACAAGTTTCCAATAGTAGCACACTTTTCATTAGAAAGTACTCCAAGTCTTCACACATTAATTGCTGCAAATTATGACTTGTGTGTCTTATGCATTTAATGCATCACATACATATTCTTGACTTTGATGCTACGTACCAATTAATTGTAAAGTTACAATATTGGCCCTTGAACTTTATCATTTATGGCTTCACTAGCCCAACAAGGCTTGTCAATTAAGCAATTATTTTTGTCCGATTTTTGTTGAATTTTGCTGAATTTGCAGCAAAGGTGATCTGCTTCTTCGTTTATTTTCTTTTGACTTTTTTTTTCTCATTTTATATTTTTTTCCACTTTCTTGATTTTTTTATTTTCAAAGCCGAGTCATAACTCATTAATGATGAAGACGTTTGGATGGACATCTGTACTCCACTTTCTCGATTTCCCCGATACGGTCTCCCGGTCTCACCGTTTCCCTTTCTTCTTGCATACTTCTCCAAATATTCCACACTCTCTTCGACTTCTTCTTTCTCTCTCAAAACAACCCTTAAGGTCACCGCCACTACCACACATACAGACCACCGCCATAATCATCGGCCATTATCACCCGCACCACCACACCACACTATTTGTGTTGAAGAAGGACGACTTTAGCGATGGTAGGGTTAATTTTTTATGTTATTATTGCTTTATTTACCTGTGTATTTTGATGTTTCATTGATGTTTTATGCCTATAAAATCCAGGAATCGGATGTAACTTAAACGGGACCAACATCAACCTCATTCATCTGCCTGGTTTCAGTAATGGCTTGGAATAGCTGGAATAATGACGATTAGGTTTCTATCTTTCTTTTAAGTTTCCATCGAGATGTACTTTCTTGATTCGTTTATTATTTGCAATATTCTTTCCTTTTGCTCGTAAGATTCGAAAATCATAGTCTACCGAAAATATCAAATTAAGAATTCCTTATCTTTTTGCTCTGGTTATCAATCCTTTATAGTATTTTATTTATCGTGGATAGGTCATCATATATAGATCGAGTTCTCTGAGGATCGACACGGTTCTTCATGATCATTGGTTATGTTTTCTATCCTGTTTGACCCTGCTTCAGTTGTTTGGTAAGTTTTGAACTCTATATCAGAATTTCAAATGGGCTTACTGGTCGATTGTGTTATAGTTGCCTTGAACCCTAATGTCCTCTTTCCAAATTTCAAAGAACACATCTATCTCTATCTGTCATATAATTCTATGTTCCTTCATACCGGGTTTAGCGTTAAATTAACTAAAATCGTACTTCATCTCTAATTTGGGTACTGTTTGTTGTTTACGATTTAATTTGTTAACTTTAATATAGTTGTTATTGTTGATTGTCAGTTTGATTTGATGTATTTTTTTACATATAGCATACAGATATAACCTTTTGGTACTGATCGGATTTTCAGGTTGGGTTTTGGTTTGACTGTGTTATTATCTATGAATTTCATGTATTCTGTTTGTATAATTGTTCTTTTGTTTTGTTTAATTTGTTTAAACTAATTCTCAGCAATCATTCTAATGGTTGTTGGTAATGAAATTGACAGGTTTCACATTGGGATGAGAGTTCTTGCTGTTGCTGATGATCTAACTTGCTTCAAATTACCAGATGGACTTCTAAGAAAATGCCAATATCAAGGTTTTTTTCTTCTTTTTCTTTTTCTAATTTGTTTTGCTTCAATTTGACTTGTTTTTTTCTTCATAAACAATCGTCATTCCTTGTTTGGGTTGTAAGCGAATTCTATATTAATTTCTACTTAGAGTTAACAATTTTTAACAATTGTTGATTTTATATGATGAGTTTGATTTTTTCTATTGGGTTTCAAGTCATTGACTTTACTAATGTTTTATGTGTTAACAATCAAGGGGGTTTGAACTTTTTTCACAGGTACCATTATCATTAGGCTCTATGGTTTTGGCTCTAGCATCGTCATTTCAATAAGTGTGAGAATTGATTAACTGTAACATAATTTAGACACTAAATCAGGTGAAACTATGAATTTCTATCAAATTCAATTTAAAAGGTAAATGACGATTTTACCTTTATGTTTACAAGGTCATTTACAATTAACTTTGAAAGAAATTGTTTATTCTTAATGTCTGTAATAGGAAAAAGATAGACTTTCTTTTGGCAATTATAAGCTTAAACTTGTTCTTTTTTGGAGTGAATGAACCACCGTGAGTAACTGACCGTCTGCCCTTATATTTACAAGGGAATTGACGACATGGTGATGACAGAGATTGGCCGGCAGAGGAGTTGGTGAAGAACGCAGCTTGTTTACATGTTTTTCACATCACTCGCACTCTCTCTCTCTCTCTCAGGTCTCTACATATTATGTACAACTCCAGACCAGGTGCTACGAGGAGGAATCTAGAAGGTACATAGTTCCCTATGTTTATTGGAGCTCAATCTTTGTGTTTCCATGTTGGAATTTTAGAAAAACAATGGCCTTGATAATCATTTGACCTTGATTTAGTTGGCTGGAATTGTTGTTGTTGAAGTAACCAGAGACGCTGGTTTTCCATTTGATCCATGAAGGCAGGTTAGGAAATAAGTTTTTGATTTACATTGAATCAAGACAATGTGGGTTGAATAAAAAATGGGATATTAGATTGTAGATGTCTCTCTGCTACTGATTCTAAATCACTGTTAGTCAAGTTTCTATTACTAAAATGCCTTGCTATTACTAATAACAAGAATTCCACAAGATGGTTTAAGTTTGGTATCCTATTGAGTATTGAGTAAACTTAAACCTTGAATCTAGACAATATAGCATAGGGATGATATAGTAAATTGAGAAATCACTGTTATCAAACTTTTTTTTATTAGCAACATACCCTAGAAAAAATAGGTTTAGGGGTTTTACAGTCGGATTACATTTGAAATAATTTCAATTTTCCAAAGTTTTTAATGTTTTTTCTGTGAGGGTGCCCCTACCTGAAAACAAGAACCATTTTTGAAGGTATAAGCTTATGAAATATACTAAAATGATACTATGCTTTGATTCTAGAACTCTGATTTATCCTTTACTTTTTATTTAATCGTACAATTAGTGTAGTTACATACGTATGATACATTTATTCAGCCATGTTCTTTACTTCTGTGAAATTTTAATTGTTTCTAAGGCTTATCGCTGTATGTTTTTCTCTGTAAGTGCAACATGATATAGCTCGAGTTAAATGCTAATTTTTTTGATCTATCCTTTTGGATGACTCCAAATCCATTGCAACAAAAGAATTTAAACACATTAAAATGATACTATTTGATACCATCCTTACTTAATAACTTTTTTAATTTGATCTGTTAGGATATTATCATGCAGGGGATAATGTGAAATCTTGTATTACGATGGAGTTTACATGATGATGTCATGGAGTATAATGGAATACGAGAACCAAATGGGTGTGATTGTTGAGCTTAGCCATGCCATCTTGTTTCTGTTATGAGATTATACTTTCATTTTTTTAGTATGCCATTTTAGTTATTTTCGTAGATTATAATAATCTTACTTTCAATTCTTTCTATTATGGCAATATACTATCAATAGTGGTTTATGTATTATAGCACCTTTCTATACCAATGTTTGACATTAGAAATTTTTGTGAGCCGTGATTAACACGGCCTTCAGATTTCACTAGTATTAATACAGAACAACCCATTTTGCCTTTCACACAACACGTGGCCAAACCTGTTCCTCTTGTACACCATTAAACACCTCTGCAGCTCTCAACTGAATCATCTATCTTAATACCTGAATGAAGAAAAGAAACAAAAGATTATGAGCAACTCACATTTTTGGTCACTTGACTATAGCTTATTTTTTCAGTATCGGTCACAAAATGTGTCTCTTGCAATTTGGTTAATGTTTGAGGTTTTTGTAACATTGTTGCTATATGTTCTAACTTCTAAGTAAAATAAGTATATTTTTGGGACCAAAATAAAGAAGATCAGCTAAAGATTCTCAGCCCAATCCCTTCCTTGAACAGCCCACCAAGCTTAGAATGTGGAAAGTCTATTAGAAGAGGCTCAAGCCGCATGTAGGGGAATGATGCCATGAGTTAGTTATTTTGTTAGAGGAATATTATATAGGGACAGCGATCCGTACACAACAATTTATGTTTTCAAAAGATTGTATAATTTATATATTGTACAACCTTCTAAAATATAATTTCTAAAGTATAAATTGTTATGTATGACAAAAATAGTTGTATACAGATCAATAACCATTATTTAGTGGAGCATAATTGTGTCCTAAAAAGATCATTAGGGATTGTAATCAGCCTTGTGGCTTAGACCACAAGAACTTCTTTAAGTTTTCTTGTTTATACAATTTGATTAAAAGTTCATCCTCCCTTCTTGTCTATCCTCCATTTTTCCTGTTATTGTCTTAATATTCTTATCATTCATAATCGACTGGGAACAAAAAAAAAAAAAAAAAAAAACATTTTACTTGGATCAAGGACAAAAAAAACATTTACAAAAACCTCAAATAATAACCAAAATTGTAAGAGAAATTTTTTAGGACCAAAATTGAAAAAATCAGCTATATTCAAGGATCAAAAATTGTAAATTACTCTTAGCATTTATTAGAAAATCATTAAGTTAGTTTTTCTAGCTTTCTTAGAATCATGCTATTAGATCAGTAAATTGTTGTTTCTCCATAAGTGACACTGTGATATGGATTCCCCCATCGGACCTATAAGTTTTATATAAAGTAAGTATTTTAAATCTTGTCAAGATATTTTGTCATTAATAAACCTTTGTACTACCTTTGCAACATCATCTGTCACGTAACAAGTCAAACGATGGTTAGAATCGTAGAATTGTAAATTAATAAAAATGAGGACTAATCATTTTACTTACTGTAAATCCAACTCTTGTTGATGTCATCATACATCTAAACCTAGTAGAAGATGTCACACCCCCAAACCAGAACGGCGGAAACGTTCGGGGCGGAGGACGTCATGTACAGTTTCACAACAATTGTATAATAGTAATCAAGCAACAACCATCGTATTAATAATATAAAGTTTACATTGTGTTCAAAACATTGCATGATTTACATTAAAACTATAGCAAAAGATAAGACGTAATGCTACTAAGCTCCGTCTTCGCAACACCTGAGAGGGTACCTGTCTACTAACGTTTCTGAGAATACAAGTGGTTTGAAAAAGTGTCGACATTAAAGTTGGTGAGTTCATAAGTATTTTTGTTATAAAAAGTATACTCTTTGTTCTTTGGAAAAGTTCGTCTGTTCCTCCAGAAAATCCTATATTTTCTTAATGAGTAATATGACCATAACCATTCCTTTTGCGATCATTTAGTGAATACAAATTATATATAATACAGATCGAATAGACAGTTGAATGTGTGGATTTGCCCTAAGCCCACAACCAAACAAGGAACAGGAAGTAAGGCGGAAGTCACACATTTCACTGTCTACTGGATCTTCATTATATATAACTCTAGCTTATTCACCAAGTAATCACAGAATTAATATTAATGATTCTTTTAGATATGATGAATGTGTTTCCTTCATAAAATCCTATATTTTCTTGGTAAAATGGTAACCACAATAGTTCCTTCTTCAATCACTTAGTTTATACTAACTATATATAACCTAATATCAAACGGACAGTTGAATGTGTGAATCTGCCCTAAGCCCACAATCAAACAAGGAACAGGAAGTAAGGCGGAAGTCACACATTCCACTGCCTATCGGATATTATTTATATATAACTCTGATGTATAAACTAAGGAATTATAGAATTAACCATTAAAGGTCCTTTATGTTATACTAGTTTGTAATAAGTGTTGAACCTTTTGTAAATATGTTCCTAGCTCCACTACTCTATTGTAAAACATTGTTTTCAATAATAATTGTTATTGTTTTCAGAAAGTTAAATCGAAAACTGTTTACCTTTAAAATAACGATATTTATCATAGAAAGTCCTATATTTTCTATAAAAACCGATTTGTAGTCTTGATCGTTCCAAGACCGAAAAGCACAAGTATAATTACTATACTTATTTTAATGATATCTAGTTTTGTTTATAAGTTCAACTAGCTGAAGATTTGTTTTCCCTGAAAACCTGATGCGACGATACTACCCTCCTATGATTACTTAATACATACGAGTTGTATATAACCGAGATCGAACAGACAGTTGAATGGGTGAATCTGCCCTAAGCCCACAACCAAACAAGGAACAGGAAGTAAGGCGGAAGTCACACATTCCACTGTCTACCGGACTTCAATTTTATCAAACCCTATTGTATATACTGAGTAATCACATAGTTAAGATCCCTTGAGATTGTTTAAGAAAAAGTATATTACTACGTAAATATATCTTTGTTTTGTCCTTATGAATTCTTATGACCATACTAATTGATATGACGTGAATCGGACGTCGATATCGTTTATGATGTTTGTCACCCATAGACCTGCCAGTCCAGCGAGGTAAGGGATTGTCGGTCCCATATAGATCTATACACAAACTCACACTCTCCCTCCAGGATACTTTGGTTCATAAGGTTAGACTTCCACTGGTACTTATGTAAGTACACGAAGACGTGTCTAACAAACTAGATCAACGACTTTACAAGTAATATTGTGAAAACTTTTTTATAAATAACAGGTAATTTTGTAAAAAGATCTGTTTGTTCCATAAACTATACTTATTATAGTTTATAAGTTTATTTTCATGTTTTAACCTAGACTTTGTAAAATAGTTCATATCATCCATAAACTATACCTATTATAGTTTATAAGTTTATTTCTATGTTTTAACAAGTTTCACGTTTAAATACATATTAATGGTAAGGAAAACATAATAAGTAAATATATTTTAAAACACAATATTTCTTGTGTTATACTTGTATTCCCCCCCCCCCCCCCCCCTAAAAACATTGAAAAAGATTGGAAAAATATGGGGGTATGCACTCACCTTATGTGTGGTAACAGTTTTGAATACGGAATAGAAACGGTGACCTTCGGGCTAGATTACGGGAAGGATGTCGTGTTCCTAATGGTTTTAAACACACAATAGTGTATGAATAATTTGATCTTAACAACACAAGTGTTTTCATAAGCACTAGGTAATATGAATTAATACTTACTTACAGTGAAGAATTTCCTGGGAAATGACTTGAGTTTTCTTACGAAGTTTGAAGGTTTACTGGGTGAATACTTTGATACTTGAGAGCATATGAAACGAATAAGGTTTGCAAATTTGAGAGAGAATGAAGGTGTTTACGTTTTTTGAATGTGCAAATGAAATCATTTTCACTTTAAATATGGAAGTAACTTAAATATGAAGGAACTCATGAGGCGGTGAATGTGAGGTTTACGGATCTAAACTCATTGGGAAGCTAAATTGGATAAGAATTGAAGATATTCAGGAGTGTTTACGCCCAAATAAGAGCTTTGGTTTGTGTTCACGGTCACCTCTTGGTCGTGAACACCATTTGTTCTTTTAATTCCAACCGTGAACACCTTGATCTTTATCCCTTTAGGCCGTGAACTCTTATGATCTTTAAGCTTTAAGGTCGTGAACTAAAAGATCCTTGGATCTTTGGACCGTGAACACCTTTGGTTCACTTTATTGGACCGTAAACACCTTTGATACTTCATACTTAGGCCGTAAACTCCATGTTCTAGAAGTCTAGGGCCGTAAACTCCATTGTGGTGGGGTATTTTGTGTTTTAAACTTTCATACCTTGACTTATATCAACATATATTAGCTTAAATCAACTTAGATTTAAGCCCATACGTAGTTACTAGCTTATAAACATACCCTTAAGGAAATAGAGGATATAATGCAATAAGGATTGCAATGAGGTTTCACTTGTACTAAGTTAGGGTTTAGATATTGTTGGCTCTAAAATTTTCGAATTGTGACAGAAGACTTGAAAGCAGTTTTTTTAATCCTTGTATGTGGAATCCAAATAGATGATTATAAAGCTAGAAGAATGATGATTATTATAGAATCGCAAGTCATGCAACAATGACAATCACAAAATCATATATACATAATACCCGAAATCCTCCAAACATCACTTTAAAGTTCATCTTCCACAGTTCAGCTTGTAGGGTGTTCATGGAGTTAACCATCCGATAAAATTGTAATCTGGGCCATTGTTGGATATCCCGAAACCTTTGAGTTGGATTTCCTAATGCGCACAATGTCTTTGTGACTGCATTTCTTCCACAGTAACACACACCATATGATGTTCGTGCGCAACGAGTAAGGTTGTAAACGAACTGAACTTTCAGCGAACCGTGTAATAGGATGTTTGTGTATGTTCGTTCAACAAGAAGTTCATGTATATTCATTTATTTAATAAAGGGTTATTGTTAGAAAAGTTCCATTATTTTGGTCTAGTTTATGGAAAAATCTCAAATTTTAACTTTTGAACAAAAAAGTCTCGATTACCGAATAAAAATTTAAAATCAACCATTTATTTTGGCCTGGGTGCAGGGTTCCAAGGGGTTGCGCCCCTGGCGGTGTTAGTTATGTCTAATAACTACCATGCATCGAGTATGACTCCATCCATGCATTTTCCTGCCAAAACTCACTTGATGACATCTTGATGATACAAGCATT